TGTGGAGCTAGGAATCACCAGGACTCGCTCCATGCGAACCGTGGCAACATGTTGGGTTGGCCGTACATTCAGCCCTCACAGCGATGACGTGGCCGACTTCAGGCGCTCCATGCGAACGGTCAGCTACCACACGGGTGTCGATCTCCGTCGCATCTTGGCCACACCTCCTCGACACCATGCAGGTCGAACATTGTTACGTACGACACATGCGCGAATTCAACGACAAATGCTGTCGATTTTTGGCGATTCGTTCATAGAATCGTCAGGCCACCAATCATCATGGTGTATTTCACCAAGATTCTGTCGAGTTTTGGTGAAAATTTGGAGGAGTTGGTCGTCTCTCCCTTCGACTGTGTTGTGTGTTTTTTGGCGACCATGGCGGCGGGCGAGCGAAGGCAGCCCGGGCGCTGGTCGTGGCGCCACGTCTTGTGGCTGCTGTGGGTCGGGATCGTGGCCACGATGGCGAGCACATTTCGGCTCATTTACCGCCGCGTCGTGTACGTTCCACCCGAGGATTTGCAACGTCAAGCGGCGTACGAGACGCAGTTTCCGAACGCCACGCGCGGGATTGTCATGACCGTGTGCGACGCGATGGTCCCGATCGGCGCGTCCCTCGTGATGGAGCTGCGCGCGCTCGGCAATACGGATCCGATTCAAATCATGTATTGCCTCCCGTCGGACCTGTCGGCGACGTCGATTGCCCTGCTCCACGCGACGGACCCGGACGTGCAAGTGATCGACATTTGCCGCATCCTCCTCGACGCGAACCTCCTCCCAAACGACGACGTCGCAGTTGCCTTCCAGAGCTTTTGGCTCAAGCCCGTCGCGCTACTCCTGTCGTCGTTCGATCAAGTGATGCTGATGGATGTAGACAACATCTTTCTCCACGACCCGAGTGTGCTGTGGACCGCGCCGGCGTACAAAGAGACCGGCACACTCTTCTTCTACGACCGCGTTGTCCCCCTCGACTGGGGCCTCAATCAAAAGCGAGGGGACCGATCGTACCTGACGACGTTCCTCGACCAGTTCTCGTACCACACATTCAACCTGACGGCTCCGACCGCCCCGTCGGCGCGCCTCAAGGGATCGGCCATGTATGCCCGACGCACCGCCCATGAACAAGACTCGTCCGTCGTTGTCATCGACAAAGCGCGCGCTGGCCGCAACGTCCGCAACATCCTGTGGTATCTCTCGACCCATCTCCGCTTCCGCCAACGCGAGCCGTTCTCGTACGGGGACAAGGAGGCGTTCTGGCTATCGTTTGAACTCGCGCAGGTGCGGTATGCGTTTTCGCCGTGGGCTGCCAGCGTCGTTGCCGCCGCGGGAGACATGGACAACCACCCCGACACCCTCTGCGGGAGTTTGGCGCAGTATGTTCCATCCACGGCGACGATGCCCGACCTGCTGTACGTGAATGGGGGCGACGTGATCGACATTGTCGACGTCATGGGAGACAACCACACGAAGCTCGTCAACGACGCGGCCACAGACTGGACGGCGCGCGGCGCGCGGCTCATCGAGCGCATTCCGCGATTTGTTGTGCCTCGGTACACGAGGGACAAGCCGACGTCGAACCTCACCATGTTTGACCAAACGTGCCTCGTTCATGCCAACTCGACAGGTATTTCCCCCGTCTTTATCGACACCGCGACGCGCCGCATTCGCTTGGCCGCCGCCGTGGCATCGAAAATGCAGTGGACGTGATGCCAGCTCTCGTTGCCTTTGGTCGTCCCTTTTTCGTGACGTCGTAAGATGACGTTTTGTCGGCGTTGGTGCAATCGATACCAGTGGCACACTGGGTGGTCGACAGAGACAGTGCCGCGGGAGCCTCGATGTAGGCATGGTGGTGGCGGGCGATTGCACCGGAGGGGTCGCCTCCATTGTCTGTCGAATGGCGCAAACAACCAAATACGCATGGGGCAAGCGCTCTTGAAAGGTGCTCGGGGTTTGGTGCATGTGGTCAACGGAGTGGATTTTCTCGCCACTGTGTGCACACGTCCTGGCGCGCGACTGCTGTCGCTTTCACGGCGGCGCATGCGACGGCGGGTCGACCGTGAAGCCACCACGTGTGCAGCATGATCGAATGGAACGTCGTCCTCGAGCTTGATCCTTGTCAAAGCCAATTCGTCTTGTGCTGTCACATGGGGGTATATTGTAGCGATTGCAACATTCGGCTTGGATGCGGCATCGCCGCACGGTCATGACGGCGCGACTGTCCTCTGTCACCGGCCATTGTAGCGTTTGAGCCGGGCAGCGTTCTGTTCCAGTCCGCTCTCGAGCCTCCTGGCCGCCGACGACAGGACGCAATACCACTCCGTGGAAAGGTGGGCATCGTCATGCGAGCACCGAGCGGCCCGCGACACGTTGCCGCGCGCGCGGAACGTTGGCCGTCCTCGTTTGTCATCGTTCATATTGGAATTTTTTCGTATTGTTCAAAAACAGGCACGTATTGAAATTCGCGAGAAATGGCACGAAAATTGCTTCGCGAATTCTTGGCGACTTTTGAGGAGGTAGGACAAAGAGAAGCAAGTTTGGCAGGTGGCACCCGGCATTTCATCACTGCAACGAGCGCAGTTGGAGGCCTCGGCGCTTGGATGCTGTCCCCACTCTCGCCCTAAAGTTGCTACTGTTTCGTCGTTTCTCATGTGGTCTATTTTGATGCCGTCGTGCATGACGTTTTCAGCCATGGAGCCGCGCACCCGTTTGCCGAGTCATCGGAGCTGCTCTTGCAAGGGGCACTGGATCTTTGTCGGGGTGCTAGGCACGGCGCTCGTGGGTGTGTTTGCGACGGGGACGGAGTGGCAACTCCTCCACCGTGGCAACGCAGCCAAAGTCCATGTCATGAACAACTGGGCGGTACCCGCCGACGCACCAGCAAACGCGATAGCACAAGGCTTACACGTTGAAAGCAGCCCACCACCGCAACGCGTCGACCCGTCTCCATTTACGTCGGGTCTTCCGTTGGTTTCGTTATCCAACCCTCACGTCGTCCATGCCACTGACGACGCCACGCCATCGACGTCTCCACGACCGGACCGTGCCACCACCCAGTCCACAACGATACCTACAACGGCACGCAGCACAGATGACCGTCGCGATGCGTTTGAAAACGTAGCAATCGTCGCGTACGTTCCGCCAGGGCAGTCCAAATTTGTACGGGAGGCGCAGCACATGCTATGGGCGTCATGGAACTACTCAACTTCCCAAGTGTCTGGGTCAACTCGAGGCAAGACAGATTTGATCTTCTTTGCCCATCGAGACGTCATGGATCGAATGCCGGCATCGTGCGCACGGCTCACCGATATCACACACGTGCCGCCACAGTCGGACCAAGACCAGTGCTTTGTTGTCGAGCAAACGCCGACGGCCGACGACTACTGGCACCGGTACTCGTTTATGTTTAGCCTGTCGTTCCTCGCTGAGCCAAGGTTTCAACGGCTCCTGGCGTCGTACAGCCGCCTCCTGCGCACGGACACGGATGTGGTCGTAACCCCGGCGTTCCTGACGTTCCGTCCTCGGCAATTTGTCGTCGGGCGAGGCGGGTACATGGACGAAGAGTACACGAAAGGTCGCATCAAGGAGCTGGCGGCAGACGTGGGCATGACGCACCAGAGTGTGTACAATGTCGGGTCGACGTGGTTTGGAAATGCATCGGTTCGTACCGACCGGCGTCGTCGTCAGTTGGACTGGGAGTTGTGTAGGTCATTCTCGAGATGGTGCCCAAGATGCTGGACGTGGCCAAGTTCATCTTGGAAAGCCCCAAGTACGGAGTCGATCAAGGGTTTCCGAGGTGGCATGTCGGGGTCGCGTCCATGTACGCGGGCGAGGTCGTCGTGAACCATTTCATTCCGAAACAAGACGTGTGGTTGAACATGGAGAGCATCGACATCAACTGCAATGGCGATGAAGCGACGGCCGACGTGTACCATAGCCACTGCTGGCCAGGTACTGTGCGTGGTGTGAGACCGATTGGACTGAAAAATGCGGACGACATCATGCAGGAGAGTACCAGGGGTACTTTAAGAAGTGGGCGTTCGAGCGCGGCGAGTACACGTCCGAGGCGTTCCCTCGTGCTACGTTGAACATTTCAGTCATCCGGGATTACTTTATGGCGATGGCAGTGTATGGGTATTAAAACACGGCACCTTGTCTTCGCTCCAACGACTGTCGGGGCGCCACGGGGAAACAAGTGCCGCGGGAATGTCTGGGGCGGTCGCTCTCGGACGCGTTGGCGCTTTCTTGTCCATGCACGCCCGACGGCAGCTTGCGCGAGCTGCGCTTATATAAATCGTTGACAACCTGTCGAATGGTCGGTGGCGCTTTGCCCACGACCTGCGACAACACGATGCCGGCACCACACATGTCCCTAGACGTTTGTCATCCAAGCATACGTCGAAGACGTTCTGGCTGCATCGTCCCCAACCACCCTTTCCACGTCTGACGAGCGACTCGTTCGCGTCGTCGCCAGCATTTCAAGCTATGCTGGTACACATCCGCTCCATCGTCGACAACCCTTGCACCGCCAGTGCTGCTTCCGGTGGCATACAGCGCACTCGCATTCGCCCCCAACGACTGGAACCCTCCATTTTGAAACACCGGTCGTTCTGTGTTTGCACAAACCTCGGCAATAGCAGCAGTTGCGACCACCGCGACGAATGCGAATCGTGCGAGGACAACAGCGCCAAGCTCGGTACACTCTGGTAACGCCGTGGTCGCACGTGTAGCGATGACATCGCTGACCTAATCAATGCGCTCTCGACCCGGCTCAGTCGTGCCAGCAGCAGTCCTTCCTGACTCTGCTCCGTCGGCCAGGGCGTCGTTCTCTGTCCATCGACACTGTCGGGCTCGCGTCGTCCGCGCCAGGCAACCACGGCGCACATTGTGTGCCCCACAAACAGGTTGAATCGAATAGTCGCACCCCCCGCCTTGATCGTCATCGCCAACCCCAAGGGTGTTGTCCGAGATGCCTCCATCGTGCATTCGACTTGCCAACACCACAAGAATCCCCATGTCTCCGCCGTGCCGGAGCCGCATCGACCCGGGACGCGGTGGTAGAGTCGTGCCTGGAGATCACCTCGGACGAGCCTCGAGCGACGTACGTCGGTTGGTGTGGCACACTTTGGCCTTTTTCACCATGCCGGCGCAGGCAACGTCTAGACTCTCGGAGTCTCACGTCATGCATTGGAATCGTGCACGACCAACTCGCGC